AATCTATACTTAAGGTAGAGTAGGAGAGAGTGAAGGTTTAGTGACTTTAAGCTCTCCACAGTCACTAATGAAAACAGTCTTGAGAGGTCTGTTCCACAAAGATCGTGCGTTTTGTGCTCTTTCATCTCCAATAAACTCAGCAAAATCGTTAAACTGTCGAATATTCTCCGATGGCTTATACGTCGGAACTGTAGCTACACTCGTCACCACATCTAATCCTAAGAAATTCCCACACACAAAAACAAAACTCAGATTTGAAATCGGGAAAATTTCAACATTTCAGAACAAGACCAAGATTTTGTTTTGGTTACCTTCAAGAACAGTTCCAAAGACAATGTTGCCACCGTCGAGCTGCGGACAAGGTCCAGGTCCTGTAGTAATCAAGAACTCGACGTTTCTGTAATTAGGATCGAGTCTGGTCTCATCGTCGTCGTCGTTTTCCGATAAACAAAGTGAGACGAGACCAGGACGAGCGTGAGGGAGCAAGAAAGACTTAGAATTAACAACATCAGTATTACGAGGCAAATCCTTAAGGAGAGGACTAATCTCCGCCGTGTCTCTTCGTAATCCTTGTCTTCCGGCGAGGAAAAACTGACCAGGGAAGATTTTGTGGACAGGAGTGTTTTTGTAAGAAGTAGAAGAGGAAGTACACATGAGTTTGAAGGTGGAGACGGTAAGAGGGACATGTCGGCCGTATAATCCGAGAACGACACGGCCGAGAGGGGAGGAATCGGAGCAAGGAGTGGTGGAGGAGAGAGTGGCGGAGGGATCAGAGCGGAAGTAAGTAGGGCAGAGGGAGAAATCGAGGAAGACGCGATCGGTTATTGTGAGGTCAGGAGAAGGGAGTTGAGAGGGAGGTGATACGGTGGCGATGGTGGTGGAGAGGAGGAGATTACGACGGTTGATTATTCCGGCGGAGAGAAATGGAGGGATGATGATTGATGCCATTGGTTGGATGGATGATATCGAAATGTATTTTCTATCTCTATCTCCCTTTTACTCCGTGGATTATACGATGTCGTTTCACCCAATGTGCTGTGTGCGATTTTAACGGAACTGAGTTTTGATTTGAAATAAAAAAAGGCTAGTTTTCAAATTATCCGCTAATCATCCATCTCTCTTTCCTTTTCCAAATTATCCTTATTCCGTTTCTAGCACACCGTGGTCTCCAAGGGCAAGTTTTTTGGAATGATTTCCTTTTAAGTGTGTCACCGACTATTGCAATCTTAAATGCAAATTCTCGTCTATCATTATTGATTTATTGCCTCCGATTCATCCTCCGATCAAACTCCCGTGTGTTCCAACCTGCTTTGGAAAAATAAGCATGTCGGACTCTCTTCATACTGCCCTCGAAGATGATGAACCAATCAACCTTCCAGACAACCCCAAGTTCAAAGTGATGGACTCTGCTGAACGTAGTTCCTCAACCCAGATTGTCAGGTTATGGCCAGTATGATTGATTTCATGCCATCCCTATGGAGAGTCTATGATAGGGTTCGTGGTATTGCCCTATCGAAGGATCGTTTTCAGTTCATCTTCCAACGTGAGGAAGATCTACTCACGGTTCTCAAATACCAGCCATGGTCACACTGCTCTTGGAACGTTGGACTCCAGATCCCCTCCCCCCAAAGCAATATGCAAGGTGGAGGAGATTGCGTATGATCCTAAATCTTCCCACAAAACAGAGTATGTTCGTTCTCTCATCACCTTTGATATTGCGAACCCTGCAAGGAACACGAAGACTCTGAATATTAAAGGAGAACGACCGGTGGAAATTGAATACGAGTATGAGAAGATCCACAAGAAATGTTTCTACTGCCTCCGGCTTACACAAGAAAAATCATCTTGTCCTCTGCTTCGTAAACCCCAGTCCTTCTTGAAACTTTTGCAGCAACCGACCAATGCGGTAGAGCGCTCTAGCCTTGAGGTAGCTGCACTGACGCAGCCGATTCAGGCCCTTGAGGGGCCACCTGGGTTCCCTCCAATGTTTCCTCACCTCTCACGTCAGGATCAACGGATGGCTCTCCAATACGTTTCTCATGCTGATGAAACGGAAAGGAGAGCTAGAATTTGCCGGGTCCAACAATCCATGGAGGAAACCGTTGGAGACTCCTCTACACATCTCACAAAAATAACACATGATCTGAACAAAGGCAAGGGCCATGTTTTTCAATATCCAGAGGATACTACCTATTGCCTTTTGGGTGAAGCATTCATCACCTCTGATCATGCATATAAAGGCCACCGTGAAGTTGGTGAAGAAGTATCCTCCACACAGAGTTTAAACTCCTGGCATCCAAAGGAATCGACGGTCTTTCAACCAGGTCTTCTTGTAAGATTCTTGTATCCGGCATTCCTAAGGCTGCTAGAGGAGGTCGACGCAGACCGCCTTCATGGAAACGTAAATCCAGGCCTCTTGTGCAAGGATCTGAAGCTCCACAGCCTCTACTGAGGTTGACAGAAACGTCGATTAAGAGGAAACCAGAATCTTTACTTCCTGTCACAGTTACAAAAACTCCTAAAACAACCAACTTGACGGTGGCTTCCGATTTGAAGCCATTGCCATCCT